AACCCTAGGGCAGCACCTTCTCCATTCCATGAGTGTCAGTGAAGTAGTGATGCAAGCATGATGCTGGTTGTGGGGATCAGACAATTTTTGGACATAGCCCATGCGAAGGTGAAAGGGCTTTCCACTTTAAACCAACTTTGTACCATGTCCCATCACTGTGTGTGTGTGTGTGTGGGGGGACAAAAATATACCAAGTGTAGTATGCATTCTCTTCATCTCTTATATAATGGTAAAATTAGCCGATTCCTTATAAAGAAACATTTTGCATTTGTTGATTAAGCAGCTATTCAAGTTATGCTTTTTTTTCTTTATCTACAATAAAATAAATTTGTTATAACTTCTCTTGTCATTATACCAATGGTATTTGAAGCATTTATAAGTATTTTCAACATCCTGAAAACAGCCAGTTTTTTTTTTTTTTTTACAGCCTATCGAGTTGGGATCAAAGTGTAGTATCTGTTCTCTTTGTCTTGATGATGGTAATGGTAACTGTTTTCCGTTTCATCATTAATCATCTTTGTTTTAGAAACTTTACAGCACTGATTGTTGAAACTGTTTAAAAAAATACATGACATCCAAGACTGGAAACAACGAAGGAAACTAGAAATTCAGACCAATAATGTCTTAAAAATCCTGCCTTATAGTATTTCGAAGTTAAAACGAATAAAACTCTGAATAGTCATGGAGAACCAAACAATGGTTTGATCCAGTTTCTATTGTTGGATACTCAGGAGAAGATGGTAAGTGAAAAAAAAGGTTAGCAATAGGTCATCTGGATTGTATCTTTTTCATCTGGAGAGATTGCTTTTTTTCTTTTTTTTTTAACCTGGAAATTTTTTTTTTTTACTTATTTAAAACAATTTAAAAAAAGATGAATCTGTTCTATTGTAATGATAGAAATAAATAAGAAGCAATTATTCTAAATAAGAATGACCTATTGGGTAAAAGTGTTGGTGTGTAAAGATAACCTCCACTATTTGGTGACAGTGGTTTTTGTTGTTCAATCCCCCCACACATCAATCAGAATGTACTTGCACTTGGAAATGAGGACAATAGTTAAAGTATAAATAGTGATAATAATGATATTCGTCATCCCAGAAATTCAGACAAAAATTAATAGACCAAAATTTTCACCTTCTCTAAAAATAGATGTATATTCAAGATCACCAGTCCACAAAGCCATACTTTGACCACCCAATGAGAAAGCTTTCACAACTAGGATATAATACATTTGGATACATACATACACATATATATGTAGTGGTTGAAGCATGTGAAAGCAAAGAAATTAAACATATCTTCAAACATGATGATTGATTTAAATAAATTTTATTGAAGATTTGTATCCTTTTCATATTGAAAACCCAATGAATCATCCCTACAAAATGTCTTTCACTCAAAATATTTTTTTCTTTCTTTTCCAAAACAGCTGAATCAATTGACATTAGTATGATAGAAGAAGCATCTTGTGTCTGCACAATTTGTAGGAGGAGAGATGCAATAACATAACTACAGAAGAACTTTAAACTGATGAATGCATATAATTTTGCATTAATCCGTAAGCTTACCTTTAAAAGTTCAATGATAATTCTTCTACCACCACTTAACTTGAAAACAATTTTGATGTTGACAATAACTCTGTTTTATTTTCTAAATTTGATTAATTTAACATCATTAAATTTTTGCCTAATAGAAGACATACTTGTTATTTTGATTTTTGAAAGGTTTTGAAAATTTATTTTGTTCTACAACAAATACTAAATTTGTTACAACTGACCCTTATTTGAAGCAACCAAATAACTAACTTAACATCATGAATATTTGAGAAATAAAAAGGCTCGAGAAATCTCAGTTAAATTTTACTAAACTTGGAGTTTATGGTTGCTAAATATTTTCCCTAATTTTTAAATATCTATTTCCGGAGGGAAAATATTATTGATCATTTTCTGAAGTGATTCTACAAATTTTGTAGTAGATGATAAAGACAGTTGTCTGACAATTTCAATGGTTTCAGTGTGCGATGGATAAATTGTCGTTTAAATGACACACAAAAGAAAATAACACTGGCATTTTTACTCATTTAAAACAATGTACGAAAAGATGAATCTGTTCTATGGATAAAAATGTCAAGAAGCAATGATGCTAAAATGAAAATAACACCTGACATCTCATTTTAACAGATATACAGGGTGCGATGGATAAATTGTCGTCTAAATGACACTAAAATGAAAATAAATCTGACATCTCATCCCATATATTTACAAAAATTAATAGAAAAAAATTTTCATATTAAAAATAGATATAAATTTATTCAATAAAATTCCATACTTTGCTTCAACTATGAGCTTGAGACAACTTTGGAATCTTTGGATACAACTCTTCTGGATGGTGTCCTTGTTTAAGTTTATAAAGCTGCTATAATCCTTGCCTTCAAACATCTTTGGTTTAAAAGAATTTTTGTTTGTCTTTTGCTCAAATGAATCATCCCAAAACAATTTCCATCCAAAAATTTTTTTTTTCTTTCCATTATTCTTTCAATTGCATTACATGATAGAAACTAATATGTTTAGATAAAGATATTTACATAGTTTTATGAATGGATGCAATTTTATAATAAAAGGTCATTCCACTGAGTTCTACTTTTTATTACAAAAACTCTGTTCATGTTTGTAAAATAGATTAATTTAAATCAGAATGTTTGGAAGATTCTAGATCAATTCTAGTATTTTGAGAAAAATCTAGATGATTCGAACAACATCTAGAAATAAATAACAAATTAACATCATTAATATTTGATAAAAAAAAGGCTGGAAATTTGGAAAAATTTTACTAAACTTGATTTATGAGAAATTTTTGCTGTTATTAAATATCTCCGGGAGGGAAAATATTTTTGATTTTTCGAAGTGATTCTAAATTTTATCCAGATGATAAAGAATCTCTAAAAAAATGGTTTCAGTGTGCGATGGATAAAAAATGACACAAAAAAGAAAATTCATGAAAACAAACGAAAGTTGGATAAATAAAATTTGACTAAAATTCATTGACCAAACTCAAAATTAACAGATATTTACACATGGATTTGTCGTCTTGACACAAATATAAATCACATCTAGATATATTTACCAAAATTAGCCCTAAAATACTTGATAAAAGATATTTATTCAATTTCCTTCTCCCAACTATGTGCTTGAGACAACTTCCGAATCTCCTGCAACTCTGTGTTTTCTGTTTTGTTTAAGTTTATAATTGTTTAATCCTGTATATATTTTATGTTCTGTTTTAGTAAATTAAATATTTGTTTTTTGTGATTTAGCTCTGTGTTGTTGTAAATCATTTTTTCCATTATTTGTTTCAAGTCAATTATCAACATGTTTACAAAATGGGGGCTAGTCAACTCTATAATATCGTAATAAAGTTATTCCATGAAGGGGTTAAAAAAAAGGGAGAGAATGCAAGGTTAAAATAGAGAAAGGATAAAAGAATGCCTTGGTATTAAGATCATTTTATATTTGAGAAACACCAGATGATTCGATTTCCATCTAGTTTATCAAATTTTTGTTAACAATCATTTTTTTTTTGTCATTTAACAAAAAAAAATGTTGAGATTATTTATGTTTATCTTTTAGTCCCAAATGTGCAAGTCACTGACGTACAAGTGTCTGCAAATTCTTCCACTAAACAAAGTTGTTAAATAGAATTTCTCTTTCATTGACCAAACCCAAAAATCCTCTTATTTACAGAGGACATTTCCGAATATAGGATACAAAGTAAAGTGGAAAATATTTTCAGATCTTTTACCAAACACTTAAAAAGTAACTCTGTGTTTTTGATTGAAGAACTAAAATTTTTATCTTCAAATTTTTGTTCTTTTTTTTTTTTTTGTTTGTATTTTCCTTTTTGTGGTAAATTTTTTTTGTTTTCCTTTTATCAACACGTAACAAAATGTTGTTTTCCTGCAACTCTACCTTTCTGTTGTTTTCCTGAAGGGGAAAAATCTGTTGTTTTCCTGCAACGCACACCTTTCTGTTGTTTTCTGCAACAACACCTTTCTGTTGTTTTCATTTTTGTTAACAATCATTTTTTTTGTTGTTTAACAAAAAAATGTTGAAATTATTTCTGTTTATTTTTTAGTCCCAAATGCAACACTGACACAAGTTTCTGTTGTTTTCCCTGCAACCGTTGTGACCTTCTCTGTTGTTTTCCTGCATCAGAGGACCTTTCTGTTGTTTTCAAAGTAAGTGGAAAATGTTCAGATTCTTTTTTAAAAAACCACACAAAGAATTTGTTGTTTTTCCTTCAAATTGTTGTCCTTTCTGTTGTTTTTTTTGTTTGTATTTTTCCTTTTAACGCACACCTTTCTGTTGTTTTCCTGCAACGCACACCTTTCTGTTGTTTTCCTGCAACGCACACCTTTCTGTTGTTTTCTCACACAAAGAAAAACTTTGGATTTTATACAATTTTGTTTTATCTTATTTCTCTTGCTTTTACACCAACTAATAAGAATCTTAAGTTGTCTGAATTGCTTTAGATGAATCATTGGCAATTAATTTTTGATCTTATTTCTCTTGATTCTGTAATAATTTTAAATTGTATGAATTTATTAGATGGATGAAGCCTTGTCAATTTTAACTAGTATTTCTGTGGTAGTTCTGAAAGCTGACAGGTTTTGGCAGTATGAACCCTAATTAAAAGGTTCAGCCAGTTTCATACACTGAGAATATTTTCTCTTGCATTCCAGAATCTTACTTTCAAGACATTATGAATTTTAGTCCCATGTTGGTATCTATTAAAATTTGGGAAGTATTTTGATTGATACAGGTGTACAAAAACTGCACTGTCTTCCATGTTTATGATTTTTGTTTGTTTTCATTGATTTGTTTTTTGACTGACAATGGAAAAAAAAAAATGGTTTGAGGTGATATTGGGTAAAAGGAAAATTGACCTAATAAAGAGTATTTTTTAATTGTTTCAAGAACTGTTCTGGCCACAACTATATTTGCAAACATAGTAACATTTAACACAGTGAATAGTGAAAAAAAATAGAAACACAATCTAGATTATCTTCATTTTAAATTTAAGATTTGGTACCACCATGCGGTACTTACTGCAATTTCAGGACTAAACCAACATCACCCACTAATCATGGGTTTGGTACCTTACTTGGTACCCTTCTGAGCATAAGCTTAAAGGGTTGTCCCAAGTAGATCAACTGCATGATTCATTCTTCAAAAAACACATACTGGACAAAAGAACCATGGTTATCCTTCGGGTTTTAATAAGACTTTGTTTTGCAATTCATCAGTGGACCTGGAGATGGCTCCATAAACAACGTCTACAGCAGTGGGGATACTGGAAGTCTGTGGTTATGATCAATGCCAACTTTTTTGTGCTGCTGCCTGATCACGTTAGCCTGCTGTTGTTCACCAAGTCTCTGTAAATCCCACTCATCTAGCTCCTCTGGTTTGATCTTGTACCAGTTGAAGTTTTGATTGTGTTTTTATACCATTTCTGTGGTCGACCTTGATGCCTTCTACCACCAAGCAGCTCTTCAAAAAAAAAAAAGCACCTATGAATGTCATATTGCTCCGTGTGAATGACTTGGACAATCCATCTAACTGATGCCTTGATGAGTACTGATTTGATGAAGGTTGAGTCCACACAGTCTAAAAAGTAATGGTTGGTGATGCATTTCCGCAATTTTATTCCAACTATAGAGTGAAAAACTTGGAATTGAAACTTTGCAATTTCTTGAGGTGCCTGTTGTATAAAGTTCCATAGAAGAGAGAAGGGAGGATCATTGGGATGTACTCTTTTAGTTTTGATGACAGGTGTACGCTATGCCAGGTGAGCATTCTCTTATGAAACCTCTCTGGTGTCAGTGTTGAGTCTCAAGAGATTTGTTCTATCTCGGTATTTGAAGGTGTCAACCTTTGCAAGCTGGGTGCTATTTATGGTGTTGACCAGAGAATATAACCAATTAAAATATGAATGGTGTTTCACTAAAATAGTCCCCTAATTTTTTTGGACAGGTGTCCAAAAATACCAAATTTCTCAGTTGGGTGGTGGTATCATTAAATTTCTTTGAAATACTAAGGTATTCATAACATCTTTGATTTTATTACTGTTCCCTTCTTGGTTAAGATTTCATCCTCACTTGGGGACTAATACTTTTGTACCAATACAATTTCTCACACAGGCTTAAAAGATGAATAGATAAATTCTTTTTTCTTTTTAAGTCAATTCAATGACCAGGGTTTCTCAGGAATCTTGTCTCCAGCTCACCTTTTTGTTAGTGTTTTAGATAGCTATAAAAGTAAGGTCCTTTAAAAGACTAACCACCCAAAATCTGTCTGGATGGTCTCCCTTTCTGGTTGGTGGAACATATGTGGACCAAAAGGGATGGTGGGTCCACCAGCCACTATTCATATAATGAATGATCAATGAAAAAAACTAGCAGTCATTGAAGCTGCCGGCAGTGGGTGAAGGAGTCTGCGAAACAGGCAGTGGGGTGTGTGTGTGTGTGTGTGTGTGTGTGTGTGTGTGTGTGTGTGTGTGTGGAGGTCTGTTTTCCATGACCAGAACTTAGTGCAAAGTCAGATCACTTTCTCGCAGCAGAAGGAAGACTGTCAATTAAGAGAGAAATTGTATTTATTTATTTATTTTATTTATTTATTTATTTTTTTTTTGCTACTTTTTGAACCAATAATTGTCTTGAAAAGCATTTATCAATATTTCTTTCTTGTTCTTTCACAGCCCTAATTGAAATGAATCTGTAACACAGTAAGCACTTGTTTATTTGTATACAGCTGACCTGGGGTGTCATTACAGCTTGTGCTGAAATACATCATCACAGTGTCATTTGTGTGTATTTAATTATTTTATTTTTATTCCTAGGTTCAATTCTGGAAGAGAGGTTATAAAGAAGAGACATTCCAGGATTATTCCTTTTATTTAGACACGACTCCCTTCTATGGCCGCAGCCGTCGTTCAACTGGACCCCCAATTTCACTCAACCTACAACACCTTTATCCCAATTCACGAATTGAAGTTCAAGTTTTAGTAATGAACACTTATTATGTGAGTCGACCCAGTGATATGGTGAGCTTTGAAACATTTGAAGGAGGTCAGTCACTAATTCATCAAAACTTTTTCCCTCTGCTTTCTGTTTTCTTCTTCTTGGTGCTTCTGCTATAGATCTCGAGATTCTTGACAAAATCCAAATAAGGACCTGTAATGTTAATGATCCTGACCTGGCATCTCGACACCATTACATTGCATCCCTGTGTCTTTGCTATAAATATTTTCATAACAATTGTTCTAATGCCCATTCATCTTTGAAACTGCATGAATTTAAATTCATTACTAGACTGGCAACTAGGTCTCATCATTTTACTGTTGACCTAAATCATATACGTGCAACCCTAAGTTCTATTGTCATAGTTTGCCTAGTTTTGCTAAAGTGGGCCAGCACAGCCAGGCATCAATGCCATAACAATGCAGCTGTGAAATTGTTAATGAGTTTAACATTTCAGTACAAGAAAAAAAGTTTTTTTTTTTGTGGGGGTGAGGAGGTTGTTACCAGCTGAAAATTTATGTTTCTTCTTTTTATTTTCGTTCTTTTTCTTTTTTTTTCATTTTAGTGCCAGGACCAGTTCCATTTTTGATTGCATCAGTTCGAGGTTCCAACCATTTTCTTTTGAAATGGGACAAACCAACTGATTCTAATGGTGTGATCACAGGTTATGATATTGCTTTTCAAACAGGTAAGCAAATTTAAAATTTATTGCATAATTGTTTTAAAAAAAGTGTACTGTTAGTGATGTCTGATAAAAATTTAACACTAAGTTTGTAAAATAATTGTTTATTCACTTTTGGACTCAAATTAATGTCAGCTGGATCAAGGGTAGCTGTTTCAGGTCTTTCTTCAAACATTTGATCTTCTTGCAAATTTTTTGTTTATTTTGGTGTATCCACTGACATTGTTCAAGACTCAATTCTGCACTTGGCAGCTTTGAGGGAACCCTCTAGGTAAGTGGTTTCCAAGCTATTTTTCTCTGGATCCCATATTTGGAAATAAAATTTGCTTGCGCTACACCAAATTTTATGTGATAAAAAGAACATTTAAAAATAAAAAGCTGAGAGAGAGTTAAAGGGAGATAACCACGGATTCAAAGTCAGAACATTATCATTGATAACTTTCTCTTCCAATTTGCAGAGCCTAGGTACTATATTCTTAATACTTGATATAATGTAAATATATCACAATGATAAAATCAGTTAATAATTATTTATAACTATTTATACTGGAAATCATGCATGCAATTGTAAGTAATTCATCATAATATTTAAAATTTTGAAATCATATTTATTTTTGGCATATGAATTTTTTGAAACTGTTTCTAAATCTTTGTCTTTTAATTATTCTGCCTCACCTGCTATCCTCTTCTGCTGCACTGTTTGGGAACCACTGCTCTAAATCAACCCTCAAGGATTCTAGATCTTTTTGCATTCTGATGTGACACCAAGTACAAAACTTTGTTTGACATCTCTTAGGGTGATCCCAGTACATGTTGGTGTTATTGCAGATTGACTCCTTTTAGAAAAATGCTAAATAAAAACCTGAATCATCACAAAAATGATGAAGAAACCTTTAAGGTTTGAAAAGGCATGGCCAGTGTAAAATTGCCAACTTGCTCAATATTTATTTTAAATCTCTGAGTTAAAATCAAGAGCAAATGAATTTGACACTATTGAGGTGATATAGAAACTAACTTCTTTAAAGAATTATATGCCTGAGCAAGACATCATAAATAGCTTTATCTTAATGGGTAAGTCATAGAAGAAATGAATATTCTCCAAGTTTGTATCCTCTCTCGTTATTGGCATTATCATATCAATTATATAGTAACATCTTACTGACAGAATAAAATGGCTGAAAGGAAAAGGAGCAACAAACATGCTTTGTTCTTGGAGTTTTAAATTGTACACAAAATTATATACATCTATTTACATGTCTCATGCAGAGAAACTATAACATGTATGCAACAGGCAAGGTGATATGGAGACAAAAAAGAATCTTAGGTATAATAATTTTCAACAGGATCTGGAACTGCTGGAGAGTCTTCTGTGTTTCTGGAGAAGCTTTGAGTGGGTTGGGTGAAGCAAATTTGACTCCTGGGAACTGACTGAAGGACTGACCACTGTCATCACTCTATGCAGTGATGTCCCTAAGTGGCTGTCACATGACCCACATAATTCATTTTGATCAACTGGAGATAATTGCATTTTGTATCCCTACAATCTACATTTTTCATGTTCTATCTTAATGGAAACAAAATTATACTTTTTCTCACATCTGTAACTCCTTGTGTCTTAGTGGCTTTACTACATTAGATGGGGTGAATTGGTGAATTCAATTAAACAAAACTAAAAGGTTAAAGGCTTTATACTATTATAGCAATGCCACTTTTCAACTCCAACCAGAATCAAACATTTTTTTAAGTTTCAATGTTCTGCAACTCATAATTTCACAAGAGAAACATAGTAATGTATATATTTTTTGAAATGTCAATCTTTAAGGGTTTAATTTTTGCAAAAGTTAGTCTGCTTCGATTTTGATATATTGAATAATCTTTTATCATCCCCCCACTCAGTGCCATAAAAATGCATCTGATTATTTTAAAAAAAGCATTTCATAAAGTACATTTTTTTCTTTTTTGCTAATTTGTTTATTCACTTCTGGACACTGTCAGTATTGTTTTATTTATTAGGTTGGTGCAAAAATAATGACGTAAGAATGTCGTTTTTTGACGTTAAAAAATATGTCAAAAAACGACATTATTACATCATTATTTTTGCACCAACCTAATATTTAAGATGGAATGATCTATTATGACATGTCTCTAATTTGTATTTAGATACATTGTGTTTATTTTCAATTTTTCTAGTTGAATTGTTCACCTATATTGCATATGATCCATTATTGTACATAATTAGGTTAGAATAAAATTTGTATTTTATATGAACATTACCTTATGAAAATTGAGATGTAATAGAGGTGAGGACCCCCCTATCATAGGTTTGTGAGGGGGCCACTTGCACCGGCCCTGATTTTAGTGATAGAATCATAAGCCAGTGGGTTGAAGTAGCTAATGTTGGCCTTAGAATGAGCTCTAATACCAATTTCATATGGCCTTAAAAATACATGCTCTGATTACATACTCTGATTGACAATACTGTTGGGGGCCATAAGTGATACATTCTATGACAAAGATTGGGGGCTGTATGAAATTTAAATGTGGGCCATAATTGACCCCTGGGCTGGATTTTGGACATGCCTGATTTAGATACATTGTATTTATTTTCAGTTTTTCTAGTTGAATTATTCACCTATATTGCATATGATACATTATTCTATATAATTAAATTAAAATAACATTTTGTATTTTATATGAACACTACCTTATAAAAATTGAGATGTAGTAGAGTGAGGCATCCTGAATCATAGATTCAAAGGGGTTGGAGCACGAGGCCCTTCACGTCATGGTCATCTACTGTATTAGGTGACCATGACGCGATTTCAACATGCATCTATTGCAACCGTGCTTAAGATATTTCTAATTTCAAAATTGATTATCACATTATTGGTGGTTAATGTGAAATATTTTTTTTAATTGGTAGCATTCTCCTTCTCATTAAGAATAAACACTGATAAAAAAAAAAAAAAATTTCTTTGAATTCTAGTAATTGGTCTGAACCTTGGAAAAATGAGGGATAGAGAACCGCAGATTCATGAACCAGAATTAAAACAAATCCGGTTGAGTGGATTGAAATCGTTTCAACTGTATCGTGTCTATATCTGGGCCCGCACCAGAATTGGACGAGGAGAACCCTATTATATTGATGTGGCTACCACGAAACCTGGAGGTAAGTTACTATTCCAGTCACAGAATTAATGTTTTTCAATATCTGGTTACATTTTGATTGCTTTTTAAAACAAAGAAAATGTTTAAATTGTTTTAATATTTTTTTTAAATTTTTTTAAATTTTTTTTATTAAATTTAAAATTCTTTTTTTCCAAACTGTTCTTTTTCATTATACCTTGGTTCGAATGTTTTGTTCCCTATATTTTCGTGTTCCCCTCTGACAATGTTTTAATTGAATCTACAAGGAAGGACCAAACCACAAAGCCAGCTCCTACTGAAAGTAATTCTGATAATATTTCGGCCCTAAGAGGATTGAAGGCATAACTAATTTTTCAGAAGATCCTGATTAGTTGTATCTATACACAAGGGCTATTTGTATGATGGTACATGATGAAATTCAGATCATCAAATTATTTTGGCACAAATAGCATTGATATCCTGCAATCACATGATAAAAGATAAGCAGAGGATTAAGAAATGGGAAAATTTTCTTAGAAACAAAGAAAAGAGTACTGAACTGTTATGTAATATCAGTCCTTCTATATGGCAGTGAATGCTGGACAATCTCCTTACAGCTGAAGAAGGGACTTGAAGCAAGAGAAACAAAGAAAAGAGTACTGAACTGTTATGTAATATCAGTCCTTCTATATGGCAATGAATGCTGGACAATCTCCTTACAGCTGAAGAAGGGACTTGAAGCAAGAGAAACAAAGAAAAGAGTACTCTACTATACTAACAGTTTCTTCTCTCACACTTCTCACTTGTGGAAATCTTTTGGCATCTTGCTTCCCATTCAACTTTGAACTTCTAAGATGTAAATGCTATGTCAATCTTCTGTCTTCTTAATTCTGGTTCTTTTTGTTCTTTCTCCTGAATAATGTTTCATTTTTTTCTCATATTTTCTAACACTCAGTACCCCCCCCGGCATCTTAGTGGCTTTATTGCCTTGCTTGGGGGGGAAATGATTTTAAATAAAAACAATTTTCCGCGAAAAAACTTTTTTTCCCCAAAAATAAATTTAAAGTCTTTTGAAATGTTTTTAATTCTCTTTTTAGTTCCCAATGCACCGACATTCAGTTTTGTCCACATTGACTACACCTATGTCAATATCAGCTGGCCTATTCACAAAAACACGGACTTGCATGGAAGTGTCTATTATGTCGAGTTTCGAAAGGAAGGTAAGTACATTTATCTGGCAGTTATTAATTAAAATCTATTCTTGTTTTCATAAAATACATTTGATATCACTTTTTCTTATATACTCTTGTTCACTGAATACAAAGCCCAAGAGGCCCTCAAGATAGAGGGTTACTAGATGATGTTGTGTTAAGGGCATACAAGGTATGAGTAAGTGCATATTATGAGGATATGTATGATATATAATTGTTGACCCTAGATGTTAAGATTGTGGTGGTGGGGAGATTGTTTTGGTTTTCAACAGCTTATCAACTCTTTGTGGGTTCTATAAAGCTTGAGCATAGTTTGGGTACTGTAAGAATAACAATTTTTTTGTCCTGTTACAAGTGAAGCCCATAGCTGGGGTGGGGAGGAGATGAACTCGTACCTTTTTCCAAGGATATTTGCACATATTTAAATGTAATGAACCCAACTGGAATTTGAATTTGTTACTCTGATTTCTCATTCAGAGATGCTATCCATTACACAACCCACACTTCCACTCGAGGTGAGGGTGAAGCAAAGGCAATATTAAAGATCCAAGTATTAATTATTCAAATGGTTGACATAAAACGAATGAAACTGAATTGCTCTGAGAGAATATTTCCCTATTGTAGAATCATTCTGGACTGCCACAAATTAATCTGAAGGTAAATCCTTTGCATCCTAGACAAAACCGTTTTTCAGTGACTGTACATATAACCCCTATGTTATGTCTCTATTCATGTTCATGTACACAAAAACTGGCAAAGATTTTGCAGCTTGAAGTGAAAATGGGAGGGCAGGTATGTGTATAAACACAAAAATTGGTTGTGACATTTTCACTATGGTGGGGTGGGGCTAATGTAAATACACAAGATGGCAATTTTTAGGGGATGTTTAATAAAATGAAATGATTAATGTCTGGGATAACTTTAGAATTAACTTATTTAAAACCAATGACAATTATCCTTTCCCTCTGCCTGACTGCACATTTTTATTTTTAAGGTTGTGTTACAAAGTAAAAAGCATGGTTTATGTGGCTATGTGGGGAAGATAATGGTTAACCCTAGACTTGAAGAGGTTTTGTTGCTATAAGATTGTAGTGATCAGGAAAACATTCTCTTTGAAGTTGGTTCCACAGAGCAGTGGTTCATGGGAAGAAGCTACTTGAGTGGAATACACTTCTCACTGATGGAATACAGAAGGAATGAGGATAGTTCCCTATAATGCATGTATCATGGTGAGCCCTTGCCATAAAAGTTAGAACTGATGGAAATAAGGAATGTAGTTCGTTTTGAGCACTTTCCATTGAAGTAGCAATAGAACAGTGAGAGGTTTGTGACGTTTTGTCTATGAGAAAGAGTTTACAGGGTGGAAAATAATCTGTTACCCACTCTGCCTGTTCCTTTATCTCTTCCCTCAACAGATACACATGCCATTCTGTGCCCCTTTTTTTTTTTTTTTTTTTTTTTTTTGCAAGTGAGTGTTCAACATTTTACCACACCATAAATTAATAAAAAGAGCAGAAGATGATATCGGTACTATGGTGCCAGATGAAAATACAAACCCTGTTTCCAATATATTTGGTCATTTATTCAAACACTCACTTGCTCGGTTTAGTGCCACTTAGTACAACTTCTAACATGACAGACTACAGGTCAGCTTTTCTCTTTAATCAGTTTGAACTTTGACTCTCTTGTCACTATATCTCAATGCTTAGTTGACAATCCTAACAGCCAGTATCAGAACTATCAATAGACAGCCTGCTCATGCCTGCTAGCAGATGACTCATCAATCCCAAGTGTGACTGTTTATATAACCCTATGGACAGAAATCCTTAATTTCCGGTCTGTTGTCACTTGTTATCAAATGTTTTCATTTATTCATCTAATTTCATTCAAAAGAAAGAAATACGACAACAGCAGAAATAGATTTACGTGATTTATTTCAATAGGGACGTGTGGGTTTGAGACAGCTACCTTGTGGTATAGTTCATAAGCCGGCTGCTGATCTGGGTTGATCTCTCATAGTAGTTTTCACTGGTTGGCGTGGCACTCCTCCTGCTGACTGACCATGACAGATCTCTTCCCTGGCCTCCTGTTGACTGCCGTTGTACTTCCATGTGACCCCTTTTATGGTGTTTTTTATGGCTTAACAGGCTCGAAAAACCATGCGCGCATAATTAGGAGGGAAGCATTTTTATTAGTCTAAAAATAGAAACACTTTAAAATATTTATTTTTTGACCAGAACTTGTGCGTTGGGACTATGCGTAAACAACGATAATGGTCATTTTGTGACGGGGACTTGTCCTGTTCACATCCGGCTCTCACTCTTGAGTATGTTAGTTTATTTGCCTGCAAATCAGCCGAGATATGTCTTATTTTATTTTATAACATAAACATCAATGTAGATATGATGTTTACAGAAGCACTTCCAAAAATCAAGATGTTCAGAGCATTGCAGCTGATCTCACATCTGATCAAGCTCTAACATCTCAATGGGGGTGGGGGAACTACTTCTAACATTTAACATTCAATACTCCCAAAACCAAGTTAGCACCCCCTCATCTTCACTGATCAGATTTTGAGTTTTTTTCCAGTCACAATGAACGGTTACACTCTCAATGAAGTTCCATGCTTTAAATTTTTATTGTATTTCTCTTTCTTCAACAATTCTTGTAAAGTTTGTTTTATTCAGATGATAATGAATATAACATTGTTTGGTTATCAACCAATGAGGTAAGTAGAAACAAAAAAAAAATCTGCGTGCTGCCACTAAGTGCAATCACAAATCTGTTGTAAACAAACAGTCCAGCAGGCAATGTAGTAATGAAAAACGGGGTCAGAAATCCAACCTTCCCTTCACAACAGCAGAAATGCACTTTCACTCCCCAAACTCTAAAATTTTTCTGCCCGGTAAGCGAAAAGCAATGGCTTTTATTCACTGAGCAATTTTTCTGACTGGCCACACCATTCAGGGAGAAAAGAACATTAGCATAGTTTCTCTGAGACTTAAAATAGAAGGTTTTTGCAAACTATTTTCTTTTAATTCCCCTTCAGCAGAGCACACACAAAACACAAGCTCTTTTTTGAGGTAGGTGATCTTTCTCTTTCGATACAAACATAAAATCTAAAATTGTCTTGAATTTCAGGAGCATCTGATTGGCAGCAATCTACTGATGAATCCGTTCTTTCTTGGAAGAAAATAGCAAATTTAGAAACCGGAACCTCATATGAATTTCGATTGGTGGCCACAAATGGACAAGAAACGCGACCCAGTGCAATTCAGGTGGCAACAACCCATGGCTATTGTAAGTGAATATTTGCAATTCTTTTGCGTGCATTTTTTAATTTATATCACTGCAAAAAATGCACTTTGTGATGCATGTTGGTATTAGAAGTGCACTTTGTGATGCATACTGTAACACATCAGGTCCAATCCTGGTTCACAACAAATGGCAACAGACTTTCATTGTGGTCAGCCCAGGGTGGATCCTGGTTTGATTAATGGAGCGATCTCTTCAATCCTGAGCTGCCTTACCCCACATTGTGATTGATTTGATTATAAGGAGGCCAAGATTGAGTTGTCACAGGTATCTGTGTTGGGATGGTCCAAGTCAAGCGAAGTCATACAATAAAACTGGAGAAAAAACAGCACTCGAAATATATATAAAAAATAATTATATTTTTATATCAATTCTCCATGCATTATTAGTAGTTGTGTTCACATACAGGTGTTTGTTGACCCAACCTATTCCTAAATTGGACGCAGGGTAAGCTGGTAAGTTTTGGTTAGCGGAGTTAGCAAAATTTATTTTACTGATTTTGTAAGTTTGGCTCAAGGCTGAAGTTGGAGGTTCTTGTGTTGTGGTTCAGGAGTTGTGGAATTTATCAGTGACCTCCACTGATTCCCTTCTCAGCTCTCAACTTGCAACTGTCTGAATGGCTTTCACATTCATTTTTATTGAGAAATTCATTATTTTGGGGAATTCTCCTTTTCTCATGGGAGATGGGTGCAGGCATCACTCTGCCTGGCTAGTTCTTCTTTCCCTTATTACCATCTCCCACTATTGCTTTCCAGTGGGTGTTAGCAGCTCCTTCAACCTCCTTAATGTCTCTTCTGTGCCTGCTACCATTCAGTGGGTGCAGGCATCCCCTCATCCTTCCTTGATTGCTCTTCTGCACCTGTTACCTAGCATTCGGTTGGAGATTAATTATGGTTTCAAATGCTATTATCTCATAAGTGAATTGACACAACAATTGGCTTTCTTGTTTTTGACCCAAGAGACACTTTCCCAGGGAAATTTTTGCAGCTCCCATTATGGTGACAATTTGTTCAGCTAAAGGTGATCATTCTGCAGGTATTCAATTTGTTTTTCATTTTGAAATCTAGCAAAATGAATTCATTTAGTTTAACCCAATTCTATTTATGTCAAATCCAGGCATTGTTTGCCAAAGACTGTCAACACTTGTTTGCACACACTGAGCATTGCTTTTAGACAGTCATCTGGTCTATTATATTAATCTCGATTCTCTGAGAACGATTTTATTATCAGTCTATTGTTCTTTATATTTTTTAACCCTTTTCATGCTAAGTTATTCACCATCTCGTTTTCGTTGATATTCCAAGTTGCCATTATTATTACTATTATTAATTACCAGCAACCCAAATAGTGTTACATTAGAAGTGCACTTTGTCATGCATACTGGTATTAAATTAATAATATTTATTACTGTTCAAAAATACCCCTCCTTACATGTGATACAGTTTCAGAAAAAGGTCCCAGTTGACACATGTCAATATTCAAAATCATCCACTTCTGAAGTCTTCCCTTGTGAAATTACACCATCTGATAAGTTTCTCAAGAAAAACCCTTCTCTCCAGAATTTTAGAGGACCTTTTTTAACAACAATTTTATTTAATCTGTATCTTTTCAGTTTTTGCTTCTTTTTTTTTTTTTTTTTTTTTTTTCTGTTTTTCTTCTTCCCTTTCAATTTATCAATTCCACCAATTCTTCAGGAATTTGATATCTTAGAGTTCTTTTCCTTCTTTTTCAGTTGTTGGTTTTGCTGGTACAAGTGCTTGGCTTTATGGAATGTTGGTAGCGTTGTTGATAATTATTTGTGCAGCAATTATCCTCTTTGTCACAAGAAAGAAAATTGCTGAAAGAAGACAAAAGTCTTATCAGAAAAATATGCGAGGTATGTATAATTTTTCTAATGACACTAAAATGCAAATAAAAGTCTTATTTGAAACAAAATATAAGATTGAAGCTTTGAAGTATCTATTTTTATATTTATTTTTATTTATGTCAGTAAAGTAACAACTCTGTACAGTTGTTCTGTTCTTAGGTAACCACTTATCTCAGAAAACATCAAAAAGGGTCAATTTGTATAGACAACCAATGTTTTTGAAAACATTTTTTATTTTGATCTGAAAATGTGAATTTTTTTTTTTTGCATTATGTAGGATTGCCAGATTAGAAATCTGGTACACCCTTAAAATCTCAATCTTGTGTGTGTGTATATTTCTATGTTTTGGAACTTAAAAATTGTTCCATCATTAGGTGATGTTGGGTTAACTTATGATGAAAATGATTTACTTGTGAAATCAGAAAACAATTCGGCAGCTTATTTAAGAGTTAAAAAGGAGGCGAGGGAACAAGATTTCAAAATTTTTGTGGGTATGTCTGGGTTAACCAGTCAAATGACAGATCAAAGCTCAAACAGAAAAGTGAAAAATTAGGTTGGAAGTTTGGGGAAGGTGGGTTATTGATTCATGTCTAGATGAATTGACATTTTTAAGGCATGTCACCACAGACGACATCCAGTTACGAATATAAATTTAAAATACAGTGAAGTAGACAAAGAGATATATTCAAGGAAAGGTTAATTTTAAAGTATTTCAAGATTTAAAAAGAAAGAAAAATCTTTAGTGTGATTAAATCATATATATTTATTACTTTGAACCCAAAATACAATACTTATGCTGAATGAGCAATAAAACCTATACATTTTTGTGCAGCAATGTAAAATATTTTGTAATAAAAATATTATTATAATTATATATAATACCAAATCCATAGGTGGTAGGGATTATTCCAATGGGATCTTTTTTTAATATAATAATATTAAAAAGTTAACTCCATGATGAGAGCTCAATGTATAAATTTATATACAGAGCAATATAAATAAGTTTATTTCATGTTATATATAACTGTTGAAATAAATCTATAATCGATTATATATTAAGTAATTAAGTGTTTTCCTTATTTTTTTTTTTTATATATATATATATATATATATATATATATATATATATATATATAATTATAATGATATTATTTGGTAATCCATATGGATAATTCCAAAGAGGATATAAATCCAGAGAGCTCAATGTAAAAACAGAGCAAATAATAATTATTATGAAAATAAAGATTTTAAGAGGTCATGGTGATAGTTTATTTCATTAGAACAGAGATATTGGTTCTAGCTTATCAGACTGCACATTCAAATACACATAAATGGATAAAAAAATTTTCCAGGCAGAAAAACAATAATTTAAACATAAATTATGTTTAAAGTTGGAGGAAGGGAGAGAGGAAAAAAAAAAGAATATGTATTTAGAAAGATAAGGTGATGGAGGAAGAAGGATATATAATGAAATGAGCATATCTTCATTCAAACATGTTTCAAGGATCAGTATAAAAACAAGTAGACAAAATATATTATTCAATGAAACCTGTTTGAATGAAGAGATTATTTAATGAAACATACTCTCATTAATAATGACTTTCCTAATTACATTGTTGATGACCAAATTAAATGTGCTATTAGAAATCTTAACATAAATAAAAAAAAAAAATATTTCCTCAAATAACCCTAAACATATCAAACTACTCGACTGCAATCAAATGCATTCTAACTATAAACAAGATGAAAAAAAAAAACTAAAAATCTCATAAGCACTAATATATTCCTCACTGATCCCATTAAAAGAAATAAAACTAATTATATACTATATTAAATTTGATACAAATAACTTTATCATCCACAATAACTCTTCTCTGTCAACTAGTAATTTGCAAAAAAATCAAAATTTTATATCAATTTAAATGTCTCTGACAAAAAAGTAAATATATATGTTGACTTTATAACAACATTATCAAGAAGGCTTACACTACATATGCCGGATACAAGCGCTATTGCACAACATTTAAAGATACATTCGTGTCCACCTTCACAATACAGAAAAGTACTTGTTGATAACACTTGTATACTCCACTATGAAAATAAAAAAACGAAACTTCAAATTCTTGAGGCCCTCTATATAAGGAGCAAACAACCAACACTAAATAAGTTTAGTTGTAAGTGTAGCAACAATGTTTATATTAGCAATGTTTTTAAAATGTTTGTAATCTTTTGTACAAAAATGTTTTTAATCATATAGATTAAGTTAACTCCCTTTGATGAAAATACTATATAGCTACAACAGTTAATTTTAAAAATGACAGAATGCATTTCATGCATGTTTACAAAAAAATTTCCACTATCAGTTACATTAATTTTTTGTTTTAGCAATTCACCTCTGAAGATGATCTTGGCTGAGATAGAAAGTGTTTGGGAAAATAAAAATGTAAATAAATGAAAAAAAAACTATGGTGCCTTCCTTAACAAATTTAATATCAACATTAATAAATTGATAAGAGAATTTAAGAGGATTAAAATAAAAATAGTCAAATGTCCAGATTATTCAACCAAACATGCTTGAATGAAGATATTCTCTCTCTCTCACATATATATATATATATATATATACACACACACATCCAGACCATTATATTATATAAAAGAAATATAAGTTACAAACATAAAGCAATGATTTTAATAGGTTATGAGAAAGATTAGAAATACAAGACACTCTTAAAATCTCTTTTTCTCTCTCTCTCTCTCTCTCTCTGTGTGTATATATATATATATATATTTAAATATATGCCACTGAGAATAATATATTATATAAAATGAGACACAAGTTTAAAATATAAAGCAATGATTTTAATGGGTTATGAGGAAAATTAAAGTAAAATCGTTTGAAAATTACTTAATACAAGCAAAGAAAAAGAAATTCTTTAAAAGTTAAATCATTTGAAAATATTAAAATATTTATTTAATCCAGTCAATGGAAATAAACAAATCAGTTTTACTTTTGTGTAAACTTCTAGCAATACTAGTTTCCTCGTTACATTTGGGTTATTTTCATCAAGAGAATCTGAGAAAAGAATGTATAATTACTTATAAAGTTATGACCAAGAACCGTAAGAAGATGGTAAAAATATATTTTTATTACAAAATTTGAAATTAAACTAAATGAGATATCTGGGATGTCCCTGAAAGGTCAGTATGAGACAGGGGACAAAATTATCCAATGCGGGACATGTCCAGTATATAGGGGATGTCTGGCAACATGTGAAGCTTTTTTTAAAATATGAATCTTTTTATTTCAATCATGTGAATCCTCCCAGCATTTTTTGCTTGACATGTGAATTTTTTTTTTCTTTTTTTGTTCATAGCAGAAGATGAAATGGAAATTTTTTCAGCAACCCAAATAAATTCCTTCTACAATTTTTTGGACAAATTACCTAAATTTTATGGTAAAAAAAAATCACCCACCTCTCCGCGTGCTTCTGGGGCCACTTTTCATTTCCTCTGCCTCTTCCTTTTTAGAAAATGTCTCTTCTTGGCCTTTGTTAGGTCAAGTCACCTTTAACACAAGGCCACAATAAATTGAGCACTTTTGCAAATCTCATTGTGTAGTTTCCTTAATTTGCTTTCAATCATTTTCAATCCACATAGTGGATAAGCAAAAATTGTGTGTATGAGTTTCATTAAAAACAACTGACAATGTATTGTGATTAAGCTTTTTAAACAATTTTTCTCATTCATAGAAGTGTTTCCTTTTCTGGACATAGTCTGTTTATTTTTAACTGAATGTGTAGATACATATATAAAAATCCACACATTCAATTAAAAATAAAGTAACATCTTTGATAATTGCTAATAGAATAACCTAAAGTGCCAAGATATATAGAAGATTTGAACAGAAAAACACTTATATGAATACAAGAAAAATAAAATGAAACTTATATAAAAGAGTGATTGCTGCCCACACACACACACACACACACACATATATATATATATATATATATATATATATATATATATATATATATATATATATATATATATAAACTGTAGATTAAAAAGTGCCCGTTTCATGGAAGGTAATTGTTCAATGGAAAATATAGTTTATTTGGCTAAAACAGAAGTAGAAAATAATAATAATAAAAAGAGGAAAAATATATATAGGGGCTAGTGAAAAGGAATCGAAAGAAAAGGTACAATAATCATAAGTTGAGTTTTAAACACAATAAATACAAAAACATTACAATGCTGTCAGTGTATTAAAGGAAGGAAGATTAAAAGAGAAATAGATAAACTCCCTAAAATTACTTGGAGAATTTATAAAAAAAAAACGTAGTACATGTAAAAATGCTAGGGATAGATGTAAGCTTTGCCTGGAAGAAAAATTTGTGATACTAAGTTTGAGCAATAATAACAGAATACTTGCTTAACAAAACAAAAAAAACTAGTTAATTAGCAGATGTGGACATAACATGAAATACCTATTGTGCTACCTGCCACTGGACTAGCTTATTCGTTTATTGGTGTAGGTTTTTTTTTTTTTTTTTTTTTTCTGAACCCAACCCTACAGTCTGACCATTATTAGTTTAGGCCCCCCACCTTTGCCTACTTTCTTTTTCCCTTGTGTAGGTATGGTTATCCATAATTTTTTTAAATGAAATTATTTTGTTTTATTTTTTTGTCCATAATTCTTTAGATCATGGTTTATGTAAAGCTCGCCACTCACTTTCATTTGCGATCAAGTCATATGAAGATCACGTGACTGTGAAACTTGGGTTACAACTAGGGCCATCCTTTCATAGGATTTAATGTTGTCAAGTGTTTTTTTGGTATTGTTATAGACAAGCGTATGGTTGCAAGAAAGAAATACGACAACAGTAGAAATAGATTTACGTGGTTTATTTCAACAGGAACGAGAGGGTTTGGCACAACTACCTTGTGGTAAAGTTCATAAGCCGGCTTTCGGATCTGGTCGATCTCTCATAGTAGTTCACACATGTTGACGCTCTCCTGCTGACAGCTGCTCAACGTGACCAGTCCCCTTTGTGGCCACCTGTTGACTGACGGTTGAACTTCCGTGTTACCACTTTTATAGCGAATTTTATGGCTTAACAGGCTCGAGACATGAAGCGAGTATAATTAGGAGGGAAGCATTTTTATTGGGCAAAAAATAGAGCACTTTAAATATTATTTTATTTTTCGACCGGAACATGTGTCAGAAACATTTGTAAAGAAAGATAATGGTCATTTTGTGACGGGGCTTTGTCCCGTTCACATCCGGTTCTCGCTCTTGTGTATTTGCCTGTAAATCAGCCGAGATATGTCTTATTTTATTTTATAACAGTCTGTCTAGAAAAAGCTAGATTTTGAGCACTTTACTGGGGTAGGTTTGCTTTTAGGCCTCTTTTTTTTTTTTTTTTTTTTTTTTTTCTCAGTATTATCATTTTTGTTCAATACTTTATTTGGATAAGTGTTTTAGGTTTTGGAATGTTGTCTGTTGGTTCCAACAATGGTTTTTGTTTTTCTTTAATTTAAAATATATTATTTATTTATTTTCCAGCTTGTTAAACTAGTATAGCACTGACAAATTTGATCAATGTTTTTAATTCTTGTGATAACGACAATGGCTCTTAAAGCCAGTAAGTGTCTTGCAATGCTTATTGCTGACACAGCAAACTAAGCTGTTTGGTCCAGGGTTGGCTGTATTTTGCTTTTTCTTGGTTTTTCCATGAGATAGTCTGTAGAACCAACTACAGTCTCACCTTTCTCACACATACCACATGTTAAGTTATTCTGTGCCTGATACTGATCATAATTTATCAAAGCTCCACCAATATGACTCTTCTTGTGGCTCATGAGGTCTGCATTAGAAAGACATGCTCTGCAGCATTCATCAACAATTTCCCTTACCTATACATGCTTGACATTTGCCCAAGTCATTGCAAGTTCTTGGAACATCTTTCATGTACCTTTTATGAACTGTACACTTCCCACCATTCAGGATCTTCTATATGGCAGGCTGCATGAGACTCTTTTAAATAGATCTTGAAGTGCTTCCTTCCAGAGCATCTATCTGCAGTACAGAAAACACACACACACACACACACACACACACACACACACGGGGACATGGGGTAATGGATAGCAGCTTGGTTTGAGGAATCGGAGAGCAGATTTTGAATCCCATTCGAAACCATTACATTCACTTATGTGATAATACCCTTGGGAAAGGTGTGAATCCTCTTCTTCTTCCTCTAGCTATGGGTAAGTAGCAGGACAGACTGGGTTCTATAGCCTTGGATGGCAACTAGTCTAGGAGAAGGAAAACTATGAATTCAAAACCTGCGGAGGGTCGTTTGGGGACATTGTGACATGTAGTGCACCATGTCTCTGTATTCAGCCCTTCAAAAAGTATAGTTGGTTCTGCACAAAGCCTTCACCACTCTAATCAAATCATATGTGCTGGTGTCTGGGCTGTCAGTTCCTAGGAAATGAACTGCTTGACCCTCATATGCCGAATACAATGGGAGAGTTCACCATATAATATTTCATTGCTTACATGGTTCATCCTGTCCAGTCTTTTGAACAGGAGTAGAGTTTTATTCCTTGTTTCATTTAGGATTGGGTTTCCAGTTCCTTTTAAAATTATTTCCTACTCTTTCAATTACTGTCCTCTTAAGGGTTAAAATTTTTGGATTGGCAATTCACTACCTGTGCTTCCAATGTGAAATCTCTATCTAACAGGTTTTAGATTTCAAGGAAAGTTTTTTTTATAATATGTAAAAGACTTTTCAGGGAGGGAATTGGTAAAGTTACTAGTTCAGACAATCTTATATCCCCTTTCTGATAACGCCCTCATGAAAGGCATGAATGCACATTTCCCTGCACTTTGTCATATTGCTATATATTGTAACAAAATAGCAAGTCTTAATTGTTAAAGAATGAGCACTTGATCAAACCACTTCCCCCCCCCCCCAACTATCTTCCCTGCATAGGCAGTAGCAACAAAAAGTTATTTTCTCCATAGTTAACATCGACATTTATAGATACGCATTGCACTCCAATTTGTGCATGCTGCACCTTTCAATGCAAAAGCAACAGATGCAAAATCAAGTTGCATGTTAATTATTCAAAGAAATGGTAAGATTTTTTATTATTCGTTTTACATGCAAAACTGAAAACTTCTTTAAATTCATTTAAATCTTTGTAAGTTGCTAAAAACCTACACCTGTCCCATAATAGTTGGGACATTTTCATACATGTTTCATACATGAGGTGTAACAGACATTATAGGACAGTTGGTAATGTATCTTTTTCTGTCCCATAATAGTTGTGACATTTTCATACACATTTCATACATACTGTTGTTCTTATCTTTTGATTGTTATAGAAGTTATTTTGGGTACAATGTTTCAACCAGTCACCCTCAGATCAAGTTCACATAGCACAGTGGATAAAGGTGTTAGTTAGATCCAGTGACAGGACCCAAAGAGTGTGAGTTCAATACCCATTAAGGCAGTGGAGAACTTTCAGAGGGAAATTAACAGGAGATAACTGATAACTGACATCCATTAAATATGGCACGTGGAACTAGAACAGTCTACCCCAGTGAGTGAAATAAAGGGTTCAGTTTGACATTCCAACCATATGAAGAAGACTGAAGCATACAACGGCCGAAACGTTGTAATAAATATGGCGACAAAGATGAGGACAATAGTCTGAATAATGTATATAATGGATTTTAGGATTTTATGAAAAATAAATTGACTTTTTCCAAATTTTCAATTAAACCTACCTTTTACTTATTTATTTATTTACTTATTTTTGCTCTCCTAGCCTCCAAAACAAATGTTGGAAATGCACCTGAATTTGAAGACGAACGGGGTTATAATAATGACTATCATGATGGGTGAGTAAAAAAAATGTTTGTGTGTTTTTTTTTTTTTTTTTTATGCTTGTAATCATTTTGAACCCTCCCCCCAAAAAAAATTCTCTTTGGTCCAATCTTATGAATTCAGTCAGGGTGATTGGAGCATTGCTGCTCACTGGACATGTGGATTCAAAATAAAGGTGCCAACAATCTCTTGGTTTTTATCCAATTTCCTCAGTCCAAATTTAAAAAAAAAAAAATATTGGTTTAATTTTGTTTAAAAAAAGAGGGTTCATTATAATACAGATTTGTCTTGTTCCTTTTTTTTTTCCCATGCATTTTGTTTTCATTGTCTTCTAAGATGTATAAAGTTTCTATGGTGGATTTAATCTTCTGCCAAGTGAAGTTCTGGGAGGAGAGCAGACATTGCGGAACAATGGGCTTGACAATCCAGAAAGGATACAATGTCAAGTTTTACTGAGTGTTCATTTTTTTTGTATTTCCAGTTTGTACAGCTTACTGACATTTTCATCTACCTTTTTTTTATTTCAAACTAATATCCTTATCTTTATAATTATTATGTGAAGAAAGATCATTTACATTGAGACTAATATCCTTATCTTTATAATTATTATGTGAAGAAAGATCATTTACATTGAGACTAATATCCTTATCTTTATAATTATTATGTGAAGAAAGATCATTTACATTGAGACTAATATCCTTATTGTTATAATTATGTGAAAAAAGATCATTTAAATTAAGATGAATAGCCTCATCTTTATTATTATAAGATATTTGTAAAAAATTTAATTTTTATGAAAGTGTATACATTTCTTAAGATTTAAAAATGAATAACTTTAAACGATTATTTGGACTAATATCCTTATCCTCATTCTCCTGTTCTTTTAACAGTTATCAATTCTGTGCAATCTTTGCTTTTTCCGACTTTTCTATTGTATAATGGGATATGTCATGATAAATGTTTTTTACTTTGGCAATGAATGAGAATGATTCAAGATGACAGTTTGTGGATGATGATAATAACTGATGTTAAAAAAAAAAAAAATACCAATAACAAACGATGATAGTCTGGGTGAGATTCATGCAAAATTACTTTGTTCCGAAACTTCTTTGTATCAGGTCATTTAATGGTGCATTGAAATTAAAGTCAGAATCGTGCAAAGGCTTGCTGTTTTCCTTTGAACCAGGGAATTTAAGGTACTCCATCTCTCCTCTCAGAGGTGGATTTGTTTTTTGAGGTTTCATTCTTCTATTGTTTGCCTAATGAGGTAAAACCTATGAGGAAGCAAATGGCTTGAATTCAGTTTTTCTCCTAAACTGGTTGCCACTCGAGGCAACAGGATCCAGTCTGTCCTGCTATTTTACCCATAGCTGGGGTTAGAAGGTATGGATTCATACCTTTCCCAAGGTTATTAACACCTAGGTGAATGCAATGAACTCTACTGGAATTTAAACTTGTCTCCAGTTCCTTAATCTGAGCTGCTAACCATTACTCCAACATGCCCACATTTGTATCAGATACCCCGAAAAAAAAAATTGGGGGGAAAAAGTTTAACAAAAAACAACTATTAACTGATACTCTCATGTTAATTTTTTTTTTTTTTTTTTTTTTTCTGTTATTTTTTAATTTTAATAAAATCATCAAAAAACATTAAAGAACTACTTCTTCCATGGTCCTCCACAACTTCCTATTCTTTGTAGCACTTAATAAATTGTCTTTTTGTTATCTCTCTTGAACCTTGTTCTGCCATCCATTTACTGAAGCTCAATCTTCTATATACCATGTCTCTTCTGGGTGCTAGCAATCATAGCTCTCCACAATTTCCTGTCTTCTGTAGCTCTTAATAAATTTTGTCTTTTTGTTATCTTTCCTAAACCTTGCTCCACCATCTATTCATTGAAGCTCGTGAGGTAGGTTATGCATTGTTTTCCTTATGTCCCATTTGCCTTCAATCCATCTTGTGAGTATCACATTTTCCAAATCCTTTTTCTTCATTATGTGTCTTAGAAATTTCAATTATCAATCTGTACATGACATATTTCACCGAAAGGCTGTTTGCTGCGTTTGACTCCTTTTAAAATGACAGACAAAATTATACATGAAAAATGTGTTGGGATCTCTGAGGATAAGTCAGGTGGTGAGGATAAATCAAATTACCTCATCACATCCAATGATCAGAAATCAGAAAGTGTCTGCTGACTCATTTCAATCTATTCTTATGAGTGTTAAATTCTCCAAACCTTCTTTCCTCATTATGTCTCCTAAAAATTTCAACTCTTTCTGATTGTATGTATAATTCTTATTTTCTGTAAAATTCATTGCTAACATCTTCAGTTGACTGTATTCAAAGCATCCATTCACTGCTATAGAGGAGCTTTGTTTCTAAATACATTTTCTCTTTGCTTACTTTCTGGAAGGCATCTTTTACTATTCTTAAGCATCTTCAGATTTATCCAGCCTTCTTCAGGATCTGTCTGTATTTCTGAGATGAGGTATTGTAACTGTTTACACTATTTACATTGTTCGGACTGTTGTCCTCATCTTTGTTGTCCTAATCACAATGTTTCAGATATTGTACGCTCCTGCCTTCTTCAGGATTTGTCAATATTTTTTAGATGAGGTATTGTAATTATTTACACTATTTATGTTATTTTGCTTCTAAATACATGATAAGGCTGATGATATTAAATTTCTCAAAATGTTTAAAACAAATATTATCAAAGGAGTAAACAGTTTTTGTTACATTATTTTTTTTTTTTTCCTAGTCCTATGTTAAACTTTGCCAATTTTTCTATGGCAATAAACGCATTGAAAGTCTATATTATTGTGGAGCAGTTGATATGATGGCGTCACTCAAAAATATCCGCTTCCTAAGGGATTTTTTTTTTTTTTTGTGTGAAAGAAACTTGAGTGCCAGTAATATATGGAAAAATCTTAGTTTTGACTGGCACAAGGCTGTTACCGTGAAGGTCTAAGTGACACCCAGGCACAATATAATATTAATGGTGTGTGAGATGATTTTGCTAACCAATCTTTTTTAGTGACTTACCTCCAATATTTGTAAAGCTTAGTCTGACACAAGGCCACAAGGCGTCTTCTGCGTATTAAATCCCCAGTAACAATATTAATAATGGTTATGCTTGCTAACAATTGCTCTCTGGTGAATACTAGCTATCATTCCTGTCTCCATCTTTGTCACAAATATGAAAGGCCATAATGGTCACTTTTGTTATTCTTTTTCCCCTTGGACACCAACTTATTTGGTACTAATCTCTAGGTTTAATTTACTCGGTTATTTGACAATATATTGCTTCCTTAGTTTAATAGTTTTTTTATGGGTTTTCCTTGCTTGTAAGTGTCAGTTGTTCAAATTACCAGACATCACTTACACATTCAACTAAGGCTGTTAACATTTTTGTTACTTTGTTAAGTACCTAACTACATTAATTATATAACATCCCTCTCTTGAAATGTTCAGTTTATCTTTTTATCCTCTGCACACTGCTGTAACTAATACCAGTGATACTATTTCATTTCTGTCCATTTTATTTTATTTTTTTTTTTTTGGTTGACATATTAAAAAAGAATAAATAAAATATTAATCTTTCATCCACGATACTACAGTAGGGTGACTGGATTGACTTCAGCTCTCAACTTCCTGCTGGAACTGAAGATCAAAATATCTCTCATATATATATATATATATATATATATATATATATATATATATAAATATATGGATATAGATCCGATCAGTATGAAGAAAAAATATACGGAAAAACAAACAAAAATCCTAATTTAATGTTAATATAATGTCAACGTTGGATGTTTCGGTCTAATAGACCATCTTTAGAACATATTCATAAAACATAATTAACATTAAACTATATTCAATTCAACATGAAAAAGATGATGGACATAAGATTAAGACTAGTCCAAACAGATAACTGAAATTTTTTATAAGATCAGCGTTCCGTTTTAATATGATCTGGGCAATGTTGTGAAAACGTATTCGAAGATGATTTCAAAATATTAGGTAAGCTCGATTGAACGATTTTTCATGTTGAATTGAATATAGTCTAATGTTAATTGTTTTATGAATATGTCCTGAAGATGGTCTATTAGACTGAAACGTCCGACGTTGACATTATATTAATATTAAAACAGCATAATTGCATATTAGGATTTTTGTTTGTTTTTCCGTATATTTTTCTTATATACACACCCCGACTCTCTCGTCGAATTCAACGTATGAGGGTCAAGCAGACCAGTTCCCAGGAAACCGACAGCCCAATAACAGCACATGAGATTTGATTATAGTGGTGAAGGTTTTGTGCAGGACCAGCCACACTTTTTGAAGGGCCAAATACAGAGACCTGATGCACTACGTGCCACAAGGGCCCCAAACGACCCTCCACAGGGTTTGGATTCAGAGTTGTCCTTCTCCTAGACCAGTTGCCATCCAAGGCTATAGAACCCAGTCTATCCTGCTATTTTACTCATAGCTGGAGGGAGAAGAGGATTCACACCTTTCCCAAGGGTATTAGCACGTAAGTGAATGTAATGGCTTCTATAAGTGTGGCCCTGTTACGGTGTGCTTTGCGGAATGCCACTCTTACTTTTATCCGTGTCTGTTTGTTTACCTCCAGTGAGCCAGCTCTGCACCAATCCTGCAACCCCACATTGTTTCAGTGTCTGCAGGAATATTGGTAAAGAACTGTCAAAAATTAGGTTTGACTCCTCTCTGTCCTGGCTATGCTTGTGAAGGACTGAAGTCATCAGTGTCACTGATAAACTTAATTAACTTTGACAACACTTATTAACAAACGTAAAAAAAACCGTATTTATGGTACTATAATTGATTAATGTCACAAGTACATAAACAAAAGGAATTTGAAGACGTTTCCCCGTATCAGGAATTCTTAAGCTGAGAGGAAGAGGTTGACTAGCAGTTGCATTTACAGCTATTTAAATGAAGGCAGTTGATTGAGGGAATTCAAAAAATGGTGCAAAGAACAGGAATTTAGCTGATTGAGGCACCACAGTCAACTGGTAGGGAGATTGTTGTAACAGAAAATTGGGTCAGTCTGATAAAAGACTCAGTTGGTTGTATGTGGTGCTCTAAGCACCAGGAATTGTGTCCTCTTCCACAATGGGCTGTTGAGAGAAGACCTACTAGTAGGTGGTGTTGACTATTTGTATATGAACAATACTGGGCAGGTTTTAGCCAATAGTCAGCATGGGTCTGGGAGAGCTATATAACACCAGTTTTTCTTGGTTGAGGGAGACGCTCTCAGCATGCAGACATGCGAAAACCAGACAAGACAAACATGATTGGTCTACTAGTGGCAAGACAAGTTTGATTTTAATTCTGCTCTTTCAACAACTGCTTTTATGGGAAGTGTAAACCCAAATTGCACTTCTCTGATTGTCTAGCCAATATAATTGGTGGTTCAATCAATATAATGGCTCTTTGTCATAAGTATCAGAAGGGAAGACAAGAATCTCCATCCCAGCCTTTCTCTCGCTGACGGGTCAATCAAAATTGTGGCCTTGCATCACTAATATCCACTCTCAGTGGAACATTTTCCATGTTCTAGAATCTTACCTTCACTTGACCTGATTATCACAGGTGTCATAGTCATCTCTATCTGAAAGTGTGTATATATATATATATATATTTATATATATATATTTATTGATCAAAACAAACCTGACCTGTAAAGATTTGTTTTGTGTCACTCATTTCAATGAACAATTCCTTTATCAAATGAAAACAACACTTAGATACAGTTTTAGGTTTGCTTAACTTAACAACCAATCCGACTCAAGCTTACAATTTCCCCTTTCATACTATACTCCATAAGTGACACAAAACAGAATTCATGGCTTCACATTGTTTTAACATGAAAAAAATATTTTTCTTTTTTTACAAATCCTTTTGTGAAAAAAAAAAAAATGTCTACCAGTCACATTCCAGACAATAAGTACACAAAAACTAAAAAGAATGTTTACACTCATATAATCTATTTTCTTTTAATTGTTATTTTAGTGGCTACCTATATATGAGTAGCCGCTCTGTTTATTTATTAAACCTGGCCTGGGTAAGCCGATAAACTACATCCAGCATCCTGGGTAAGATGATAAACTATGTCCAACAGCAAGGCCTCTGATCAGGAAGTCTTGAAGAGTATGGAACCACCTATTAATTACTGGTGTTCCCAGGTTTGACCTGACCTGGGGTAGTAGCACCTGTTAGGGCCCCAACTATGGGCAAATAGTTAACCCCCCCCCATGCACAAACTGAGGTTAATAGTGTAAAAATAGGTTTTAATACCAGAAATAAATGTTTTGAAGGAAAAATTACTACCAGCAATAAATTTACAAAAAAATTACAAGCAATAAAAATCTTAGCATTAAATAACCAATTGCTGTAAAACAAAGCAAACTATTTATTAAACAGTATATCTATTTTTGTCTAATGGCCTTGAATATTCAAGAAACCTTATTAAATAAGAATATGTGCTCTCTGGCAAGAATTAAACTTGTACCCCCTTTTTACATGAGAAACCATCATTAAATCTAATATGCTCTAGACTGAGTCAGTATGCCTGATCTAATAATGGTTTCTCCTGCAAAGAGGGAATGCAATTTCAGATCCTGCCAGAGAGCATATATATATATATATATATATATATATATATATATATATATTTTAAATTTTTTTTTTTTTTAATAAGCTTTCTTGAATATTCAAGCAGGTAGACAAAAATAAATAAATATACAATTTAATAAATAAATGGAGCATCTACTCAAATATGAATAGCCATTAAATAAATTGATAAAATCTGTCAGATTGATGAATAAAAAAAAAAATTACTTTTTTAGAAATTGCAATATAATCTATTTAAAAAAAAAACCCAAAAAGTTCATTTCATAGGCAGATGAGCTTCTTATATCTATGACCACCATATATAAGGCTAGGAGGGTTTCCCACAAGCATTGAATGGAAACCTTCAAGATGGGACTTGATAAAAATATTTAGTAGATAAAAAAACAAAATAGTTAAATATTCTTCTCTTGCAGACAGACTTATTTTTACTCCTGTGGCAATGGAGACTTCTGGGGTTATTGGCCCTTATTTGATTAAGGGACGAGCCTCATGAAACGAAGTGGCTCTTGCAGTATATCTCACTGGCGATGGTGCGAGGTAATGCTTTATCCATCATTGCAACTGGCAGAGTATAGATAATTTGTTCAAATAAATGTTTGCTTCTTACTTGGACTACTGTGAGTGTTAGGCATCAGGAAGAGCATCTGGCCTTGTAAAACCTTGTCTCAAATCATCAGGACAAATACTCTTGTAGGACACTCCTTGCTTTCATGATCACAAGTCCTGTAACTCATTAGAGCCATAGGGACAATACATGTACAGCAGCCGCAGTACACACAGTGTTTCTTGGGTAAGATAGCCTGATGGAGCTCCACCCTCTCCCGGTTGGTTTAAATTCAGTTTTCCTTCTCTTAGACTGGGTTTTATAGCTTTGGGTGGCAACCAGTCTGTCCTGTTATTTACCCATAGCTGAGTGGTGGGGATAAGAGATGATTCATACCTTTCCCAAGGGTATTTGCACATGTGAATGTAAAGAATTGGACTGGAATTTGAACTTGGCTGCCTGGTTCCTCAATCTGGAGTGCAATCCATGACTTCCCCGGTGCTTCCTTACTTTGTACAAGATTAATGATGGTCCTGCCTCAAAAAATAAAAAAAATACATGTCTATAGATGTTATAAAGCAGGGGTTGGCAACCTTTTGGAGAGAGAAGGCCAGACAGCTATGCAGTAACTTGGAGGAGGGTCTTAATCTCAAACCATTTTGTTCAGAATGCTGCTTTGGTCTGGAGATTTAAATAAGAAAGTTAATGTTATATTATTTAAACAAGGTTCTTTAGTTTTCCACAGGAATAACAGGATAACAACAAACACAATCAACAAAAAATGCAAATTCCTTTCTACAAACGAAGTCCAGTTAATAGTGGCTAATTATTTAATGAGACATTTATTTCTGCTTATTATTTGATAACTTCTCTGCATCAAGTGAAATATTTGTCGATAACAGGAGCGAAACGTTGTCCAGGTGGTCATCATCCACCCTTGTTCTTAAATGACTTCTAGCATATTTCATTTTCAGAAAAAGTTGTTCACAAGCCAATGTACTTCCAAATAATGATGCCATAACTTTCATATTATTCAATAGGCTTTTATATTTTCCACTTGGCAAAACATATTTTCTAGTGGAAGTCAGCAGTGGATTCAGAATTAGGATTAACATAACCAGATATCCCTAGACACATTTATTAAATACAGGGTTCAGTTTGAAATATATTGAGTTTCCCAGATTGACAAGCACCTGATGAGAAATTCTGATAACAACAACAAAGATGAGGATAATGGCCTGCATGTAAATAATGTAAATAAATCATCACCCCAGAAAGTTGGAGAGAAAAAAAATCAGAATTTAAATCGTATATGAAGATTCACTTCTTTGCTTGACTCCAAATGACAGTGCTACACTGGTTTGCGGATCCCTTCATTACTTATGCAAGAATTTGAGTTGGCATGAGGGGCCATGACTCAAATAAATTTGAAAAATATTGGCCTAGTGGACTAAAACATTGGTTTATGTTTGGTGGTATAAGAATTGTGGATTCAATCCCTAGTCTGGTTGGTTGGTTGGTTGGTTGTTTTTGTACGACAGCATATCAACTTCTATGGGTTATTTAATGCTGAAATGTAAATATTTTGTATTCAATTTCTTTTAATGATACAAGGGGAGAGAAGAGGTAGATTTGTAGATTTTCCCAAGAGTATTTTCACATAAATGAATATAACAAACCCAACTGGAATTGGAACTCTGCTTTTTTGATAAAAAAAAATTCTGAGTCATTATTCATTGCACCACCTGCACATCCAAGCTTTCAACACCTGGTATTCCCAAGTGGTCACTCTTCTTGATACTGACCAGACTTGACATTGCTTAACTACAGTGATTGTATGGGAACTGGGGTTTCTTGTGGGTATAAGAGGCCCAGGATCAGTTTAAAATTCCCTGGAGGTTACTCAGATCAAGAAGCACCTGATGAAGGCCAGAGAGTGTAAAGGCTGAAACGTTTTGATAACAACAAAGATGAGGACAACAGTTCACATGCTAATAATGTAAATAATGACTTCTGATCCCCAAAATTACTTTATTCTTAATTTATGCAATTGTATCAAGGAAAGGACATTAAATAGATAAACTGTCAACAGCTTCTAAGATAAAAGGTTTGGGTGAAATTCTAATTTTATTCATGCAGCTAATGACTGATTTTATAAATTGAATCATTTTTAATTTAAAAGGTTTTTAAGTATTCTAGTGCCTTTCGACACAGGTGGGGAAATGTTGATTTGAACCCTTCACCTCTTTGGTGAAATATTCCAAATTTTGCCTTCATTATATTTCCCTGTTTATTTTCATATAAACACATCCATGTTGTGTTTTGGGCAATTAGTCAAAGAACGATTGTTAGTCTCCTGTACATATTTCCAGGAGACGCCGTTTTCAACCAATTCCTAAGGAAGACCCTGATTTTGACAGGTAAGATTTCCTATGCCAGGCTATTTCCTAACACTAACAGTTGCGCTGCTAATACAAGAATTTGGGTTGCGTGCATTGACATTGCTTCTTTTTTTTTTTTTTTTTTTTGCCTGCTAGGTGAGGTTCATCTGCAATTCTAACCTTTGATGTTATCCTGTTTTCCTGGTTTTGTTTTTTAATACAAGTTCTTGAACCTTGAATGGCATCATTCCTAGAAATGGTGCCTTGATAAAATCATTCTTCTGTGTATTCAGACTGTCAGTGTCTGGTTGGGCATCAGGGAGAGCATCTGACCTTGTAAAACGTTGCCTCAAATCATCATAAATCTTTTGTCAGGCAGGATCAGTTTTGTATTGTGCTTTAGTATTAAACTCATCCTCCATTTCTTGGCCACATTATAGTCAATCCATTTCTGTAACTGAGACAGAATGAAAATATTTCCCAAAATTATTACAGATAATCAGACTGGATAATAGAAAGTGGGGGATCAGTTTTGTCTTGTTCTTTAGCATTAAACTCATCTCCCAATTCTTAGCTATAGATGCAATTTCATCTCCCCAGTCCAGACAGGATGAGAGTAAATCCCAAAAATGCTTATACGTAAACAAAGTAAAGTGGGGGATCAGTTTTGTATTGTTTATTAGTATTAAACTCATCCCTCATTTCTTGGCCACAATTCATTTCTATAATTGAGACAGGGTAAAAATTACCCCAAATCATCTGTACAGGTAATCAAATAGGATAACAGAAAGTGGGGGATCAGTTTAGTATTGTTCATTAGTATTAAACTCATCCTTCATTTCTTGGCCATAGTATGCATTTCTCCAGTTCTGCCATTACCTCAGATAAACAATAGACAATTCTTGTTTGACCTTGAGGTTAATGGAAGAAAAGATATATCAAAATTGCTCTTTGGTTTTAGTGAAAAGAAATAAAGGGAGATAAAGGTGGTGATAATGCTCTCATGGGCATAATGTCTGCTTCAGTGAAATGGAAAACTTTATCAAGTTTCCGTCTTTTCATTTATGCCCTCTTACCTCCTAGTAATGATCTTATGATTTTTATTGTAATATTTTTTTTAAAGTTATTTAGCTCGGATATTTAACGCGGCAATAGGGGAATTTCTACGAATATTTTATAGTCATGGAACTTACAAGGAGCTTATTCAATCATTAACTTAAGAATTATGAGTCATCAGAAAATTCAAATAGAAAAACTGAAATTTTTATGGTATTGCTAGTAGAATTTAATAAACTTTTCTGCCCATGTACATTTTGGCATACCTTTCATATATTGTCCTTTCTTGTTGTCTGGGGATTGCAAAAATTGGTTTCTTGAAGTTTAAAGGAAAATAAGAATGAAAAGAACATTTGTGCTTGGGACAAAAGAGTTGGAATTGCTTGGATGCATAATGAGGAAAGAGGGCTCGGAGAATTTGACACTCACAGGACATTGAAGGCAGAGTGATACAGAAATAAATCCACTAAATGAGGTTGTGTGAATGGATGGCAGAGTAAAGTGGGACAGATAGACAGACATTGCTAAGAACATGAACAATGGTGGGGGGGACACTTAAAGACAGTTGACATTTCTAGGACACAATGAGGAAAGAGGGGTTGGAGAATTTGACACTCACAGGACATTGAAAGCAAAAGGGAAACAGCATGTTACCTTTGTCACAACTTTGCATAAATGATGGCAAACTGTGAATGATAAGAGGATAAGCATTGCTTAGAGCTATAAAGCATAGAAAGTTGTGGAGAGCCGTGATCGCCCATGTCCTGAAAGAATGCAGCACATGTATAGACAAATTTTAATAAACATTATACACCTCCCCAGTTAATCCAATTCTTTGTTTACCCTCGTTTGTCTCTAAACTCATCTCTTTCCCACTTGGTCCAATTTTTCTCCCATTTCATGTTTTGCATAATGTCTAACAGACATGTAAGTGTGCAGGTGGCATAATGGATAATGGCTTGGAATAAAAAATTGTAGACTTCTGTTAGAGTTTCTGGGAGAGAAACTCTAAGAAAGGTCTTCTCAGCATAGTTGCAGTATAAACCACAGGTGGGCTTTGTGGGTATTGAACAAAAACAAAATTGTCCAAATTGTGTAACAGCATGCAATAATTGTCCATCCCACAAAATGTTTAATATCAAAAAAAAAAAACACTAAACTAATGGAGTTTCTTTTTTTCCAGGTTTTCAGATAAGACAATTAGCCATCTTTACACCATTTATCGTAATAATCATGGAAAAACCCTTTGAGTTATTCAGGTAGAAAGAGAAGAGGTAAAAATCGTTTTGTGTCAGACCCACTCTCTTCACAACTGAGCAATCGTGAGAGGAAAAAGATGATTCAGACCTTCAGTAATGGTATCAACATTCTGGTTTCCATCTTCAAAGTCCATTCAAGAACCATCAAGAGAATGGTGAATAAGTTTAAAAAAGAGGGAATAGCAGAGAGGAAAACTGTATCAGGAAATCAATTAGAAAAGATCCAACTCAATCCATAAGGTTTTTGGCATGTGAGAGATGAGTTTCAGCTATGAGCAGTGAAACCTGTAAGGCACCTTGCTACTCCAGGACAGAAAGATGGTTAGAGAGGGCAAATTTCATCTTGAATAATTCAATCCTTCATGAGTTTCTGATCCTTAGCTATGCTTAATTAATGATGAAAATGTCATTTTTGTTTGATCAATTTCATCACGATTCTTCTGTTAAGCTTGGAGAATAATCATACATTCTTACTGCACAAAGTAGAGTCCAATAGCATTATAAAAACTTGGAGAATTCCAGTAAGATATCTTTAATCATTTCTAAGATATAATGGTTCAGGGCTTAATCTAACAATTTCACTATTAGATGATTTGGACAATTTTGCTGTTACACCCTCTGTGTGTGTGTGTGTGTGTGTGTGTGTATATATATATATATATATATATATAAAAAGTACAGACGATCCTTAAAAATCCATTTGGTTATAATTTATTTCATAAATATATAGAAATATTCATCTCTTATGACCAAAGTTATTTAATAAATGGAATCAATTTGTTCAGACAAAAGTGAGAGAAAGAAAAAGAAAAATTTCAATATAAGGCTTAAAAAAATTTTGTGAGGAGATAGAGGGAAAGAAGGAAGAATTAGATAGGGTGTTTCTAGCCTCACAACCTTCATCAGGCAAAGAGTGGATATTTCCACATATTATTAAAAGGAATTAATTTTTTCTTATGTTTTTTGATGTTAAATATATCTTCTTTTTTGTGTTATCCACTCTTTGCCTGTTGAAGGTTGCGAGACCGGCAACCTGTGTAGCAAAATTATGGTAAATAAAGCATAATAGATTTTTTTTTTTTAAAAATTCACATTACAACCAAAAATGTTTGCGGTTTCTCTTTATTATATATATAAGTGAACACTACACTGCTGTAAACACCAACCAGTGACAATGTTAAATGCAATTTTCAGGCCATCTGTGTTTTGTTTTGGCTTGATTATTTATATATTCTGGTCACTGGTGTATTCTGGGTAGTAAACTCTGTTGTATTGTTATGTTAGAAATTATTCTATAGATTTTTGATTAGGATTAATTGTAAATATGTATACTTTATACAATTTAACGTAATTTAGAGAAAACCAATAACTTAGACTAGACATGCAAGAGAATCAACCCCTAGGAAAAAAAATGATTAAAATGAACAAAAATATTTTGTTAGTGTTTCCACATGTAAAATGTTCCCCAAAACAGAAATGGGGGAACAGTGTCTCCACATACAAACAATATTATTTTAAAGTTGTATATTTGGGTTCCAGACTATTTCAACTAAATGTAACACAGACACACACGATAAACAAAAATTAAGTGCTTCTTTGTAAACTGGTGACTGAAATCCAAATGAAAGATGAAGGACTTGAATTTAGATATTTTTTATTTTTTTATCTCTAAATATAGAAAACATTATCAAATTGTGAGAACTAATTTTGTTTTAATTTAAAGCAAGAAATTTATATTTTCAATTAAATACTTGAATATTTCATCTGAAAAGTCATTAATCATCCCCTCCCCACTTTTTTTTTTCTTAATGTTATAATTTATAATTGTGGGTTGTACTATAAAAAACATGTTTAAAATGTTTATAAAATAAATTAAAAATATGTAAAGTTTAATTTTTTTTTATTTTGTGAACATTTTAATGGTGTTTTAAAAAGAAACAAGTGTAAAAAGAATTTTTTTTTTTTTTTTATAATAAAGTTTACTTTCATTATTGAGACCTTTTGGTTAATTACTCCAAATTGTTCTACATAGAAATATTCTTATTAATTTTCATTCCCAGGCTAAATTTTAATTTAAGAATTATCCTTTATGCATTTATTTTCTACAAAGAATATTAATGCATTCTAACTCTCGACAGTAAAGAAATTCTCAATTACAATCACCTGCCTTGCATCATGACTAATTTTTTGGCTTTTATCATTCTCCATTGTATTTTCAATTTAGTTGATGATAGGCAGAAAACAGCATATAAGTATTTGATAATGACTCAATCAAATATTTAACCAAAAATTTTAGTTTTCACAGTCTGATACTAATGTTTTCCACATTTAGAGATAAAGAATAAAAATATCTAAATTCAAGTTCTTCATCTTTCATTTGGATTTCTTTCATTAATTTACAAGGAAGCACTTTTTTTTTTTTTAATATGCGTGTTCAATTTATTAAAAACTATTGGTGAGAAGTTAGAATTATTATTTTATTTTAATACATTTAATTCAAAATTGTCTGATCACTGTCCCTAAAAACATAACCGCTCATAAACTAATGTTCTGTTGTCAGTGAGATGATGTTAATCATGGGCTCTGTTCTCCACTGGGACTGGGATTAACTTTCAAGTTGCAGTGAAAGCCACGATTTTCAAAGCAAGCAAACTTTCAAAAGAAACTGTTAGCATAGAATTTATGGTTACATCAACTGTAAAATGATGAGACCTAACTGCTAATCTAGTACTGATTTATTGGACATCTACTCAGTACGACGGCTGAAACGTTGTGATAAATATGGCAACAAAGATGAGGACAATAGTCCGAATAATGTAAATAGTGTACATAATACGTCATCTCAGGAATATAGACAGATACTGAAAGGCCGAAACCTTGTAATAAATATGGCAACAAAGATGAGGACAATAGTCCGAATAATGTAAATAGTGTACATAATACCTCATCTCAGAAATATAGACAGGTGGCTTTTTTTATTTTTAAGTTAATTTCCTGTTTTCAGTATGTTACTAAAAAGCTCTTTTGTTTTGTTTTTTTACAAACACATTTGAATGATCAACTTATTACTTCCCTTTGTGAAATTTTGTTTTCTCTCAACATCTACACCTTCTTCCTTTACCTCACATTCTTGTTTTATAATTTTCACACAAATTTCTCCAGCAGAATTGCACCAATAAACTAATGCTTTGGGATCTATCATAAGTTCCCTCTGCACAAATACTTGGGGTACATTGTATATGTTTTAATTTAAAGAACAAATCGAATTTGGGCCTAATGGATTTTCTGAACCTAGTTTCCTGTCACTACCAACAAAAGTCAAAAATGCTACTTCTGCATTCATCACATTTCTTCTCTGTAAAACCTTTCTACAAAGTTTGTTTTCCTGAAGTCAATTAATTGCAAGTTGCTTCTACAAATTTCATAAATATCATCATTGACAATAACACTCAGACTTTACAGGCAAATGTATCTTCGTCCTAAGAGAAATTTAATTTTTTTTTTTTTTTTTTTTTTGTAACAATTCATCACCCACTAAGTGTGCCTTGTAAATGGTAATCAAGCTTTTGGAATATTTTACAATAGATATGTATTATTTAGTAATATATACCTTCATTTTATTAGGGATGCCATGACTTTCTTAATTTATATGCAAATGTATAGTACTGTGGTTCAACAAGTGGCAAGTTAATCTGTATGAAAGAGTAGTGTTAGTATAACCAATATATGAATTTTTTAAAATTCTTATAAAAGACAGTTTTCCTGATAGGCCATTGAATACATATATTATGTTTGTCTTTTTAATGGATTTTAACAGTCAGGATTATTATTAAAGTTTTTTTTTTTTTTGTATATGTGTGTATATATAAAATCAGTTGTGTTATGCATGATACATGCTTCTCTTTCGATTCATGACTGACTAGGCAGAAGATTTTCCCACAGTTCATTGCCATTTTTTTCTGTGGTAAACTGGTTGTCGACAGTCTCTATAGGACCTGGCCTGTCCTGCTGTTCAGCCCATATCTAGGGGGGGAAGAGATGGATTCATACCATTCCCAAGGGTATTTGTGCATAAGTGAATATAACAAACCCAACTGGAATTCAAACTCAGTTCTCTGATTTCTCATTTCAAGTCATATATAAAGTGTGTGTGTATATGCATGTGTTTAAAAAAAAAAAGAAGTATTCATCATTTCACTTTTAGACTTTTCTGTCTTTTGAGATTTCTCAATTTGAATGACGATTGTTGATCAAACCAGGGCTCACTTATGATGCAGTGTATTTATTTATTGAATCTAGCTTAATTATTAATATGATGTTGATTATATTGTAGAAAATTATATTAAAAATCTGAACATCTAAATTAAACCAAGACTAAAATAAAAAAAAAAAAAACTGGTTATGTCTGGTAAATAAATAATTTGTCTTTATGAACATGAATTCAAAAAAGTCAAAAAGGAGTAAAAATAGTCTTTTAGTTGAGTTAAAGGTTTTGGGTAATTGGTACACAGAAAAATCTGCAGTTTAGAAAAGACATTGATTATCAGCAAAGATTCACTGACCATCTGAGCTGTTGTTGTTGATGATTCATTTGAAGATGCCAGTATGTCTTTCTTTCAGCCTGCACTGGGAGGAAGGAAAAATCTGTTTAGCCATGTCAAAGCCATGTTTGAACAGGTTAGAAACAGTCACTTCTCTACTACTGAAATTCAAAATCTGTAGGATTTTATAAGAAATTTTTCCTAAAATAAGCTTGGGAAAAATAGGGTTTTATTTTTCTCTGATTGGTCAGAACCTTGATTTAAACAGTGTATTGTGAAATATTTTTGGCATGTTTGTAAATATTGTCTGTTATTGGGTAGAAATTAGTTTTTGCATGTTTTACTATGGTATGTAATTGTGTTGTAAATATTGTTTTTTTTTTTGTTTTTTGTTTTTTTTCCTATAATCTATTTACAATGGATCTCTGTTGCTTTAAGAACTGAAACATTCCTCTCACCTTTATTAAATGAGCCACTATTTGTTTTTTCTTTTTTTTAATTTCAGATTCAATGACAGCTTCAAGAAAAGTCAAAGTACCATTACCCCTGAAGCAGACAACCTGCCACCCAGTTACAATGATGTCAAGGGATATGACGACCATCACTATAAGAATGATCGCCAATATGACGATCGATATTATGACCAAGAAGGCTATGATGACCAATATTATGATGAACATGGCGAATATGATCCGAACTATGAGTATCCAGAATACGACGATCAATATGAAGGTCATTATGAAGACTATGATTATCGATACAATAGCAAAAATGACGTCCACTATGAAGAGCCTGTTCCTTCCAAGAAGAAAGAATATCTCGATTGGGGTGAAGCATCTGGTACTAATGACACGTGTGTGTGAGATGAAAATCAATAAAAAGGAAATACCATATTTTCCTTTCTACAAATATTTGACCATGAGGGTTTAAATTTAAAGTGAAAATTTAAACAAAAAAAACAAATTTAAAAAGGTCATCTTTTACCTTCTTGCCAGTAAAAAAAATGGTGTCAAAAGGACAGTTTTTTTTTTTTCCTTTAACCATCACTCCTCGGCAATGTTTGTTTTCAAAAGCGGTGATTAGAATTATAATTAAAACCTAACACTATTTATTACATTGTTTACTTACAAGAATATTTTTATATTTACAACATTCTAAATAAAACGAATACAATTAAAACTAATGCAAAGCAATATTTATCATTTACCATTTTATAAAGAAATAAATACGAAAACAATTTTTTTATTCATAGATTTATAAACATTTACTAAATTATTAAAATATGTGAACCAACTATAAGGAAATCCTTATTTGCCATTTAATAAAGTTTGTATCTATTGGCAATTGTTTTGCCAACCATTCTAATAAACAGTATAAGAAATAAACAATCTAATAAATAATTTTTTTTTTCTTTGTTGTCAATTCTCAAGAACAAAGAAAATATATACATTCATTTTCATGTGTTTTGGACGTTTTATTACAAATCTCATCATTGCATTTAAAACAAACGCTGCGAAAGAATGAATGTAGTTAAAATAAGTGATGTTATGAGGGAGGTGGAACCATTCTTTTGACACTTTTTTTTTTTTTTTTTTTGTAGTCATGAAGGTCCAAGTTTACCCCAGAAGATATGTACAAAATATAAGGTTTTTTATATTTTAACCATTTTTTTTTTTTTTTTTTTTTATATCTTATTCTCTTGCTTGACTATATTCTCAATAGTTTTAAGTTTATATTTTTCTATGAGGTGGGGAATGCCTACTTATGTATATAAATAATTTTTATGCTTTTGTGTTTAAGTTTTCGTATGTTTGTATAAAATTTTTAAATCTAAAGAACATTTTTATTCATTCTTCCGTACAGCTCAGATGGAAACGAATTGCAAAGAATTTTTCTATTCACTCTGGGGTTGTTACTCATCTTTCCCTATCATTGATTATCTCCCTTTAATAAATATTCATAAGCAATTGAATTACTTTTCCTCCATTATCCAATTGAGTTTTCTATTCAGGATTTTGGTTTTAGTCATCTCCTTGATTTAAAAAAAAAAAAAACTGTTTCAAAAATCACCTTGGCAAATTTTAAAAAATTAGTCCTTGTTTATTCATTGAAAATTTAAAGCAATTTATAATGACAAAAACAATGATCATCATTAAACAAAATCCCATTCCTTCTACACAAAACTTTACATAGAAGGAATTTTATGATGATTGTCATAAACAAAAAAAAAATTTTTTTTTTTAAATAGTCGACATTTAAAGCCTTATTAAATTGAACTACACAATAAGTGATATTTTTTTTTTATATACATCTTTGTCATTTTTATCCCTATGTTTCAGCCAGTCCAATCTCTGACCTTCTTCAGGCATTTAAAAGTTTCAATTTTTCAATCCCCACCCCCACAAACACCAAATATAAAACTCAGACACAACAGTGCCAACATCTATGAATTACTTGACATGTTTGGGGGAATAGAAGGATGATAATGTTTGATGGCAGAAAAATCAGCAATCTGGCATTTTTTTTCTCACTTATTCTTTTTTTTTTTTTAATTTTTTTTTTTAATATTAAACCTCAATACCAAGTAATTCAACAAGTAATCTATCCTGTGTATGATGTTAAACTACATCTGACAGAAAGACCTCTAATCAGGAGGTTTTGAGAAGCGTGAAACCACCTCTTAATTACTGTTGTTCCCCGGTCCACTCTGACCTGGGGTGGTAGCACCTGTTAGGGTCCCAGCTATGGGCAAATAGTTAACTCCTAAACTGTGGTCAATACACTATGAAGGTGTAAAAATGTTTTTATAGTAAAAATACCAGAAATACATTTAAAAAAAAAAAAAAATATTACCAGCGATATATTTTGCTCTCAACAAAAATCCTCTTTACAAAAATACATCAATGAAACTTGATCTGCAACCTATTTTCTTACAAAGAATACATATTTTATTCATACGAACATATCCTAAAAATCTTGTCAGCATTAAATAACCCATTGAGGTGTTGATATGCCATAAAACAAAATAAACTTAACCAAAAAGTAATTCTTTTCCCTTTATTTCTGTCCAAGTTTTAGAACTCTGTACATCATTCCCAGTACTCTAGCTACTACTGGAACAGGCATGACCTTCAAGCCGAGATCTTCATTCATTAATGCCCACCATTTTTTTTTTTTTTTTTTTTTTTTTTTTTTTTTTTTTTTTTTAATGGTAAGGATGGTAATATTAGCAGTTTCCCTATAAGGAAACATTTGGCATTTATTGACTGAGTAGCCATTACTTTTTACAGTTGAAATTTATTAAAACTGTTTTTGGGGAAAACGGTTTCTCAAGTTTAGTAGTTGTTATTACTCTTTCCAGTATTGATGAGCCTTTCTTTACAAACCGACTTGTAGTGTGGTGTGGAATGTTAACATTTTGGTTGGCATTAATGGATCATATGAAGAAATCCATAATACTGGATTTTAATTTTAGTTTTTATAATTAATAGTGGATTTTATGGAAGATAATAAAGAATTAATAAATATACATTTTACAAATTGTATTTGCAAAGTTTTTTTTTTTTTTTTTTTTTTTAAATTATGTGAAATCCAATAAAAAAAACAAAAGTTTATTATAAAATACTAAAATCTGGCAAAAATCTGAGAGTTGAAGTTGAAGCTTTTTGTTGTTGTGCCATCTGAGCTTGTCTTTGCCGACAACTGATTCCCAAATACCCACCATTTTTATGTCTATACTTGGAACATTTTTTTTTCTTTTTTAAATGCATTAGAAAAAAAAAGACAACCACAAAGAAATATTTGTACATAATTTTTTTTTTTTTTTTTCATATAATTCAGAATAAAGTATTTTAAGAATTTTTCATGTTATCTTGAGCATTTTTTTTTTTTTTTTTTTAACATGTTGCCATCAGATATTGTTATAGACAAGCTTATGGTTGCAAGAAAGAAATACGACAACAGCAGAAATAGATTTACGTGATTTATTTCAATAGGGACGTGTGGGTTTGGGACAGCTACCTCATGGTATAGTTCATAAGCCAGTTTTCAATATGGGTTGATCTCTCATAGTAGTTCACACTGGTTGGTGCTGGCGCTCCACCTGCTGACAGCTGCTGACCGCTCAGCCTAACTGTGACAGGTCTCTTCCCTGGCCTCCTGTTGACTGCCGTTATATTTCCGGTTGACCCCTTTTATGGCGTTTTTTTATGGCTTAACAGGCTCAAGAAACGACGTGAGTATAATTAGAAGGGAAGCATTTTTATTGGTCGAAAAATAGAAACACTTTAAAATATTTTATTTTTCGACCGGAACTCATGCGTCGGGAACATGCGTAAATGAAGATAATGGTCATTTTGTGACAGGGCCTTGTCCCATTCACATCCGGCTCTCACACTTGAGTATGTTAGTTTATTTCACTGTAAATCAGCCAAGATATGTCTTATTTTATTTTATAACAATATTCTTAAAAATTTTGGTAGCATCAAAGGAAACATGAGGATAAAATTGATGTCTTCATTAATGACTCCAAAGAGCAACATGTCAATTAGGAGAAAAACAATTCAGTTTCTCTCACATGCACATGTATAACCTTCAAAGATTCATTAAAAGACAAGGATACATAAGGAAAACAATGTCCCAAGTTTAATAAAACAAAGTTTTATCATCAAAATCTTTGTTATTAAGAAGAAAGACCAAAAGATTTTTTGATTGTTAAATTAGAATTTTTTTTAAGCAGTGGCTGACAATAAATTTGTATAGAAAATTTGAGTGTCCTTTTACAGCAAAGAACACATTGATTTAGAAATTCTGGCAAAAATCAGATAATTGTTACATTTTAATGAAAATAACAAATTAATGAAAATATTTTAGAATAATTTTTTCAAGAAAATTTTGATTAAAATAAATTTTATGTCTGTTACCCCCCCCCCATACACTTTTATTTAAATTTTAGGAAATTCATTTTTTTTAGAGTTTGATGTTTATATGAGTTATAAGAACAAGTCCTTGGAGAATTTAAGTCACAGGACCTCCAGTTCCAGAAAGTCTGCTCTGTTTTGTAAAATTAAAAAATAATTATAAAACTAAGACATTATTTAATTAGAAACACTTAATTGCTTTTAAGAATATGATTTGGACACTATTATCATAAGAAAATTATTCTTTTCAATTAATTTTTACAAGAATTGTTTTTATTTTAATTTTATTTTTTTCAAATTTAATTAAAGTAATAAAGTTTGAAATCTTAAAATTCTGTATTAATTTGTAGTGGATTTAAATGATATTGTTATTAAGTAAAGAATATTTACTTTTCATAAATGGAAATGCTTGCTACAATTCAGTCACACCCAGTATTTTACAAATATTTGGTGGGGGGTGTAAATGTCAATTTTGTGAATACAGATGACTATACACAAAATTATCAGAAAATATGAGCAGTAAGTATAGTAAATTTAAAATTTATTGATAATTTTCTAACATTTTCCCAATAAGTACCTTTGTAGGTAAGATTACAAAGCCAAAAGTACCAAAACTCCAATAAAATATTGGATTAAGTTTTTTTTTTTTTTTTTTTTAAATTCACCCCAAGCAAGGTAATATGCTCACTAAGATACAAGAGGTTAGTGGATGTTGACGTATTAGAAAACAAAAACATTACTAAGACGCAAGAACAATAGACGAGTAATCGGGATGACAGTAGATAGTGATTGACATTGTATTTAAATTTTTGAAGATTAAACTTGACTGGAAAGCATGGAACCAGAAAGGAGTTCCACAAGTGAGAAAAGAAAATGTTAGCATAGAACTTATGGCTACAGTTACTAATTGATAAGACCTTGTTGACAGTCTTGTACTTCATAAA